GACCCATCTGATATACTATACTGTTACGTAAAGTAGGTTTCTTGACCTACCACCAGCCGACCGTCAAGCAATAAAAATCAACATTTGTGGAATTATTTTCCAAGAAATGATGGTTTAAATTTCTGGACACAAAAATGCAGCATGTGATGGACGGACAAACCTAAGGGTTGGCGGAGGGGGCCTACCTGAGGCGCTGGCCACTCTCAACAGCCCTGCCATTACATCAATAGATATAGATATTTACAATCCTCCATTATAAACCAATAACAAACCACAAAACCCTCTAGGACCTGTTTACCTACAAAGGAACATACACACCCGCAGGGTTCTGGTTTTTTTTTTTTTTAGGTATTTGGACTTCCACAGGATGAGTTGGAGAAAGAAGCTAACTTGTGGGCCTCGATGTTCTTGGTTCTGGGAGTGGCCATCGGTGTCGCAAGTCTAATGAGTGCCTGGATGTACTCAATCTCTGGAGAACGTCTTACCATGAGGTTACGTAACAAGGCATTTGCTAGTGTACTGAGGCAGGTTAGTATAATACTCTGTACGACAAATTAAACAGTTGCATAATAACAAAGATTTTGGCAGGCATACCTTGCTCCTAACCAGAAAGGGACCTGAGGTCTTTCTACTCTACTACCCATCACCGTAACACAAAGCCTTGTCAAGTGTGCTATCAGGAGAAAAACTACAGTACTGGTATTAAATACTTCTCCTAAAATTTAATTTCTTTTATTACTACGAAAGCCATCATGGGCTAATATCTGCTTTAACAAAAGTTCACAATACAAAATTTCCAAAAAAAAAATGACAGATTAAGGCATTGGGATATATAAATGAATTGGTAGAACAAAAAATTATAAGTCAAGAAGCTGTTTGACAGTAAGTGGAGGAGCAAATCTGAGATGAGTCAAGAGAATAGGATGCAAGGTTGAGGGAGTAAGGAAGAAAAGATGAATCAAAACAAGACTTACATGCAAAGGCCCCCCCCCCCAATTATTTACTTGCCCCAGGCTTCATGAATTGTAATTAGTTTGGCTGTATCTGTACCTACAGTAGGCTAATAATATGTTCTCAAGATGATAAAGTGAATTTTTTGCCGACTTAATTCATGTGACTTAATAGTCACGGTGCCTGTCGTGACATCCCATGATTTAGGGTTCAATCACAAACATTTTTAGATAACAATGGTTGCATCTATTCTCCTATAAGGATATTGGCTGGTTTGATGACCCAAAGCATAGCACTGGTGCTTTAATACATCGTTTGGCAACTGATGCATCAAATGTGAAAAATGTGAGTAGTATTTTATGAAAAAATGTTTTCATAGACTAATTTTCAGTAATCAATTTCAATAATAGCAATTCAAATCCCACTTATTATCTTTGTCATTGCAATTACTATTATCATTATCATTATCAGTTATCAAATATTCAGGTAGTAATATTTAATATGCAGTAATTTGTAGTCAGTCAATATTTATGTTCCTCTTAAACTATAATTCTGCACAATGTTATGTAGAGCGAGAGAGAGTTAAGGATGTTTGCATTTGGAATATTTATAGGAGGATGAATGTTAGATTGAGCTAAATTATCAAATTTTATTTAGACTTAATATGTTAATATATAGGGTTTGGATAATCTTGTTGAAATTTAACTAATCAATGATCTTGTTACACTGAAAGGCCACCGGTATTAGGGTGGGCACCACGGTACAGGCGCTGGTCACACTTCTTGTAGCATTGATAATGGCGTTCATTTACGGCTGGAAGTTGTCGTTGGTTGTTTTGTCCAGTGTCCCTCTGCTGATGCTTGGTGGAATGCTGGAAATGCAGTCCTTCGCTGGTCACCAAAAACAAAATGACTCCCTACTAGAAGAAGCCAGCAAGGTACAGAAAATTAAATTTCTAAATCTCTAAATTGCTTCCTCTTTTGTTTTCCTCCTACTAATTATTTGTTGCGCAATTAATTGATTTGTTTTTTAGCATTTTAAAGTCATTTTTAGCTTTTAGATGTAATTTTAACATTATTTTGATAGTTTTAGAGTACAGTATGTTTATTTTTAGTTTTTATCATGATCTTATGGTAGTACAGTATTTTACTATTGAATAAGCTTTGTTAATAAATAAAGTGACTATATTATGCTATAATTGTAGAGCATATAAGTTTAAATATTGTACATAATTTTGAAGACATGTACTTTTTTCTTTTATTTTATGTGGCAAATACCTGTGATTTGCCCATATATGGATGTGATATGATATCATCTTGCCCAGATATGGGCAATTTACACAAATTCGTCACATAAAATTGTACAGTGTGGATAGAGATTTACAAGTATAACACTTATCACATTTTTTGTTACACAGACTGCAACAGAGTCCATTGAAAACATGCGCACTGTGGCATCATTAACCCTTGAGAAGCACATGCATGAAACTTACAGCAAATATATGATGAAACCGCACAAGTGAGTACATCTACATATTTCTATGTAGCGCTCTGTTTTTATACAATGAAAATGGTAATAAATCATATTATTTAAAAGAATAATTAGATGTCTGTTAATTATCAAATGTAATTTGGGGTTTTTATACAAACATAATCATCATTATTATCCAAATCATTATCATAAAATGCTAAATATAAAATTTTAGTGTGATACAAGAAAAGACTATTTAATTATTCAACTGAAATACTATGTGATTATCCGCAAAACAGACTTTTTAAAATAGAAGCAGTTAAGTTATTTTCTTATACTTCATAAGACTCTTTGAGAGACTGAATTATATATAAAGCTGGGTACGTTGCACTGACGGTTATTGATAGTGGTGGTGTTGATGGGGGCATAAAGGTAAAGTGGGAGAGCTTGATGATTAGGTGAGGGGGAGCTAATTTACAAAATATGGTGATTTTTAAATACTTGAGTGTGATTTTTTGGGTGACACTGTGGGTGTGAGAAATTTTTTTTTTTTCGTGGTTCGGGGTAGGGGGGGGGAGTGGGAAAGGAGTGTGTGCCCCAGCACACCCCCTAAACATACCACTGCTTAAGCTTTATTCCACACTATCACGTTTTTTTGTGACAAACTTGTGTGATTTCATATTACACTCATATATGGGCATATTTGTCACATACAATTTGGTAGTGTACGTGGACACAGCTTGATAATTCCAGATACACCCTCATTAAAAATGGAACAATTAACAATTAAATGCAATTTTTTATTAGGAAAGCCATGAAGGCAGCATTTGTTTCTGGTATAGCATATGGATTCTCCCAGGGAATGGTCATGGTTATGTACGCTGCTGCATTTCGTTACGGAGGTTACTTGATTGCTCAAGGTGAAATGACCGGAACAGATGTGTTCAAGTAAGTATGCTATTTTTTTAATTTTTTAATCAGATATTTAAGTATTTTATTCAAAAAATCTCAGATATGCAATGTATAATTTACGTTATTTTAATATTGGATAAAGGATATCCCTATACAGGGCTTGAAAAAGTGCTGGAACGTTGGTCGGAGGCATTGACTATTACCCAGGAGGAATTTTGGGGGGAAAAAACAAGTTTTTGTTTTTTTTGTTACACATCATAATTTAATGCATATCGCTAATTAAATTTCATATTTTTGCTTGCTCCAAACCACTAAATGTACTACTGTTCAGCTATAATAGAGTAAAGATAACATTTGGTCGTGGAGGCATTTGATCAAGATAATTTTCATTGTTAAGAGGCACAAATATATTTTTTCAGGCCTGTCCCATTTTTTGTCTAAAAAAGAAAAATATTATATAGCAAATATTTCCAAAGTTCAATATTAAAGCATACAGTACTTTATAAACTACCTAAAATGTTCCAGTGTTGAAGCATACACCTCTGTTGATATTTCAGGGTCTTCCACGTGATTGCATTTGCTGGAATCTCCATCGGTCAAGCTTTTGCCTTCGTGCCTGATTTCTCAAAGGCTCAGGTCTCTACTGCGCGCATGATTCAACTGTTCAATCTTGTTCCAAAGATCGACAGTTGCTCAACAACAGGCAAAAAACCGGTATGTTTGGAATATTTTTTTCTTGATTGTCATCTTTATTCACAAAACAATGGAGTATGGATTCAGGATGAAATAAGCCCCACCCCCCACACTCCATCCCCTTTTGTTTTTATAATCGTTTTTTTCTGTTTTATTATTATTGTTATTATTATCCTCAATCCAATGATTTTTGTAGGACATTGTTGGTGAGATCAAATATAGTGACTTAGTGTTCAGCTACCCAACACGACCAAACATTACAGTCCTTCGTAAGCTAGATCTGACCGTTGCATCTGGGAAGACCTTGGCTTTGGTTGGAGCCAGTGGGTGTGGAAAGAGCACACTAATTTCGATGTTGGAACGTTTTTATGATCCAGCGGAAGGTAGTGTGGTAAGTCTAAATCAAAGATCTTATAAACACAAGATAGCGTTCTCCGCGATTTACGAGTGCAAATTCTGTAATAAGGCATGAATGGCGCCCTCTTGCTAAATTGGAAACTTTTGACCCTTGACCGCTCTGACCATACAGTACACCGTGCGACTTTACCTTAGGGTATCAATCCTTGAACAGCAGAACAGGAACCATCTCAGATCCATGGCAACAGATAGGACGCCCTCTTCCAAAACTGATTACTTTTTCTCTTCGGTAATAGCGCATGAATGGCGCCCTCTTGCTAAATGGGAAACTTTTGAACCTTGACCGACGCTTCTATTTGTTACGCGTAAATCGCGGAGAACGCTATCTTGT